AGCCGCGCCCGAGCGAGGCTTCCATCCTGTCCCCGGAGGACTCGGACTTGGCCGCCCCGGGGGACTGCGCGGGCCTCGCGGCGCACCACGCCGTCTCGTACATCAACGTGGGCGCCTTCCACGCGTTCGACGAGGCGGGCGTGGAGGTGTGCTGCGGGGGGCACCCGTCCGTGGAGCTGCCGGGCTACGCGCCCTCGGACCCGGACCTCAACGCCTCCTACCCCTACTGCTGCCGGCCTCCCTGCGACGCGGCGCGCCCCTGGGAGCCGAGCCGGGCCTGCTGAGTCCCCCCCACTCCGGCCGGCCGCGCCGCGCCCGCCTCCGAGGGCTCGCTCCCGAGACTGGGCCTCCGGTGTTACCATTTCTGTGTCTGGGCGGTTTGTCTTCTTTCCTGTGTCTGTTCGTATCCGGATTCCATTTTAAAGTTTACAATAAATGTCTTGGGGTTAGCTCGCCCCCACCGCACTTCTCTGTGGCAAGTCCGACCCCTGGGGCCAGGCTCCCAGGTCCCCGCTGAGAGCTCACCGAGCGGGCGACTCCGCGGGAGGAAGACCGCTCGCTCGCTGAGGACAGGACCACGCCGAGGACTTCCGGAATGAAAGACGCGAGAAGTGCCCAACAGAACACTTTGTACACGGATGTGCCTGCTTTTGTTGGTACTTTCTTACTGTAAAGCTCTCCATAAACAGTGAAATGTTTGGTAAATTTATTGCAATTTAAAGTTGGTGAGTTTCTTTATTAAATTAATTGCTATGTTATTGGAGATATTCATCGAATTGGAGGGTGTCTACCCATAAATCATGTTGGGAGGAAATGGTGGAATTTGGTCAGGCAGATGTTGCGTCCCAGCAATTGTACACAGCTGGCAGGTTGACGAAATCCAGACTCTCTCTGGAGCCAACGCTATGGGTACCGGGTCCCATACATTTCTTTTTTTGGAAACGGTGACAAGGTTTCTACCGTGAAGCTGCGTGTATTTTTGGTTAATACATATGAACAACCCAATCCTGTTTTGGAAAATCAGTCATAGTTTTCCTGGCAAACGTTATTTTCCTGTTGATGAATTCATTAATCTGATAATTTTTAATATAGCATTTCATTTAAAATGTACCCGTTGATGGATGTGAAGGTTGTACTTTTAAATCATTCGGGTATGTGTGTGCATATTTGCACACACGCTATGAAATGCGTTCCACAGGATGGTGAAGTTTCCATCTAGTCTGGTGGGCTGGCTGGGAGCCAGGCAGCCTCAGTTTCTGGAAAGGCGATCCTGCCTGTGTGCTGGGATCCTGGCAAGCAGGTACCCTGCTGGTTCTGAACTCCTTCAGAGATGGGGACACACCCAGTGCTCTGCCAGGGGTAAGCGCAGCACAAACACTTAACGTGAGAAAAGCAAAAGAAACAATGTGCAATATACTTACATTGTTTGGGGTCCACTTCTAATTGGGAAAAAGTACCCAGGTTGAGGGATGGAGGTGGGGTTTCCAAGTGCAGGCTCTGGGGTGAGGCCTCTCCTCAGCTCCTGGGTGCCCTAGTCAAAGCCAGTGTCCCCTGTACCCGGGTGACCAAGGACCCATCCCATCTGGGACCTGACTGGGCTGCCAGAGGAGTGGAGACCTGTCACCATTCAGTGGTTGACATGTGGAGGTGGCAAACACCCTCCCCACCCCACCCCCATGCTCAAGTACTGAGAAACTGGGGACCTGGTCAAAGAGGCAATGAGCCAGGGTCTTCTCCTTGTCATGTGGATGCCGCCTGGGGACAAGGATCATTTGTGGCCAGCTTACTAGGTTCTCATCCACAGGCCTCCTCAGATGCGTGCTGTACTTGGCCTCTGGACTCAGCCAGGCTGAGGGCATAGCCCAGCTAGTCCCACCACTGGCTCTTACAGCCCCGCCCCTCGCCTTCCCCCACACCCCCGGCCCCCTGCCCATCAAACTGAAGCAGGAAAGAGAAATGGCAGCAAGTACCTTCTAAAGCACTTTTCCCATCTACCTGCATCAGATCCTAAGGCGTTGCAGGCACTCCTGTTCCCCAGCAGGGCTGCTCCCCGCCCTGGGGCAGAGGCCTCCCAGAGCTGCAACGTGGAGGCGGACAGGGCAGCCTGTGCCCGATGGGGCGACGGGGCGCACCGCGGGCCCCCGCAGGAGGCTGCTGGGCGGGATCCGCCTGGCCGCAGAAACGCGGGCAGCATGGCCTGAAGCTGCAGACCTCCCCGGACTCTTCGCGTTTCCTGCGCTGTTTCCTTTCACACCGTTTATACAGCTGAAATGGTAGCTGCCCTTAGGAGTCTCCAAGTTTGCCATCCAAGTCAGTGACCTCTCTAAAGTTTCAGACTTTCTTGTGATAGGACAGAAGGCAGAGTGGACGGGGCCGCCAGGAGCGTCACTTCCAGGCATCCAGGGTGCACACACGCTTCTCCCCTAGTCAGCTTCTGTGTGACCAGAAAACTAGGGGGCATTTTTAAAGATGCGAGTGTTTCTAAATTCATTAATACTCTCAATTCATTTTACACAGGCTGATGCAATGATGGGAGATGCCAGAGTTTTATATTTTTTAAGTTTACTACAGGAAACGAAGTCCCAAATACCCCAAAGCTGAAATTGTTCCGAAGACCAGAACTCAGGGAACCAACTGGGGAGTTGCAAAGCTTCGAGCCCCGGCTAGTGAGGGTCAGCTTCTTTGTGGCAGCTCCAAATTCCTGGAAGGTTGTCTGACTCATGGCTGCACTTTTTATTCCCGTTCATTCTGCTTTTTGAAAGTTTAAGTTCATTGTTCATAACTAACTTTGTGTACACCTTGGAAAATAATGCCCGTTCTCAGACCTTTTTGAAAACGGGTCTTATTCTGCTTCTCAGAATAAATAACTCTTGGTCTTGTGGAAGCCAGACCAAGAGTTTATCATTATGATGAAATACCAAAATTAAACACATTTCAGTGATTTTAAGGGGCTTAGTGCTGAGTTTGTAAGTTATTATGTTAAGTCTAAAGGTTGTTTACTTTTAAGAGAATAATGTGACTAAGATAACAAATGATAGAACCGTCAAACAAGCCACACTCTCTGAGAGAAACCGCCACTCGCAGGGTCTCAGGTACCTGGGTTTTCATGTCTTTCCTTAGAGGGGGCGCTGCCCTTGGCAACACAAATCTGAACCACACAACTGAATTTCTGACTGAAATTCAATTAAACAATCATTTAATTTAAAAAATCAGAGTTTTTCTGGTGAAGACCAAACTGATGGTAATTAAAGTATTTACTCCTGACTGGTGTCATGAGATGGTACAGGTAGAAGCCTCGAACACGCACACAGACACAGAAGCATG